CAACAAAAACCAGTCATAGCATTGAAAGGCTACTGGTAGCATTTTCAAATAAGCTTAATGATGCTTTACTATGTTATTACAAGTTGTATTTTTCACCTGATGGAAACATACCTTTGTTCTCTTTTGTACACAAAAATCCTAAGGACAGGTAAAATATTTCATAAAACCTGAAAGAGATAGTTAACCAGTCTATTTTGGAAGAATGAGATCCTCTGAAGCACGGCATCAGAAACAACAAACAATGAAAAGAGGTATACATGTTGGAATATCCACAATGAAATGCGTATTTTGTTGTAAGTAGCTTAAAAAAGAAAAGGCCATAGTGCTGACATTGATACCCTTTAATGCTTCCTCTTAAGGTAAGCCGATTAAAAAAAAGTGAACATTTGCCAAACAGCAATACTTTGCACATAGAAATATGTTTACCTTTATCATTTCAGGATCATGACAGTGATTACACTATAGAATATTAAACACTTGTATAATTTTAGACAGTAAAATTCTAAAATCTTGTTGAAATATCACGTATAAATTTCAAGATATTTGTAACAATCAAAAAGTAATATGATTTGATTAACCAAAAGTCCCATATAAGCATGGCAGAGTAGAGGACAGAAAAATATTTCAAAGCAAAGCCAAAGAAAGATTTTTATTTACTTTTTCCCTTTAAGGGACAGGAAAAAACAATCAAATGCTGAAACATCTGAGAGCCCTTTCAGAAAGTTTATTTCCTCTTTTTTTCCACCAGATCATGGGAACATCCTCAGTTGGGCAAACAATGAATGAGCAAACAAACCAACTTATTATTACCTATTTCCAGTTATATACATAGATAGGCCAACAGTTGGTTTCCAAACTGAAATTTTAACCAAAGTGCCTATGCTGGCCAAGAGCATGAAAAATAATTATAACCCACACAACAATGCCGCCAAAAGTTTTCATACAGATGCAGTTATACTGGCAAAAGACAAACAGAAAAAAATTATTTTGCCTGAATAAAGTAATATACACACTGCCAAGTAGGGTAAACATACATAAAATTGGTTTTAGGTGCATCTGCACTAGGGCAAATTTGTCCCAACTCCCATCAAAAGTGGTTTTATGAGTACACAAGTCTTGAACAGCCAGACTCTAGAAATGAAATTACTTCAAATTTCCATACATTTTCTAAGTAAAAGTTCTATTTGATTTTTAATCAAAATGACACATATCCTTCTTTTTAAGTGTGCTGCTTTCACTTCTCCCATTTTTTGTTTGTATGCTTGTTTGTTGAAGTTTTGTCCGTGGATGATGATGAGACAGACATCCCGCATTTCCAGTAATTAAGAGAAATTGCACCAAAGCGGCAAGCATGCTTTTATATAATGCAGTTTTGCGCAATGGCAAAGTTGAAAAGTCTACAGCTATCAACGTGGAATTTTGCACTGGTGCCAAATATGGCCCCAGTAATACAGTTCCCTCCCATTGCGCTGCAGAAGAGCTACTGGGAGAGAGGAAGAGGGGGGCTGAGCCACCGAAACAGGAAGAACTGAGCGATCAGCAAGCAACAGCACTAATTAAGTACAAAGAGTATGAGCAATTATTTGGCAAAAGTGCAACAGAAGAAAACTGAAAGCTAGTGTGCTAGACATCAAATAAATAAGATCTTCCTTTCTCATGGGAAGGAATTCTGATGTCCTAAGAATCTGAAGTTCTCCTACTGAAAAAGGAGAGGAAGATACTGAAAAGCATTAAATCCTTCCTTAAAATTGTTTCTCTGGCTTCCCTCCCCACTTCCCACAGCAAGCTTTTTACTCCCTGAAAGATTAATTATTGAGAGTTGTTCAAACAAGTGTGTTGGTTGTGAACTTCATTTGAATCCAGCTGCAGAAAAGAAGAAATGCCATTTATGTTATGCAGTCCATTGCAATATGCAACAAATAGGCCTCATTCTGAACTCATTTTTTTTAACTAAACAAGTACAGACAATAAAAGACTTAAGAGATCACTTTGTTCACAGACTCTCCAGGGAGATGGACATCTGAAGACAGTATGGTTCTTGTTTCTATTTGTACAGGAGCATTCTCCAACCAACATACTTTTCCTTCCAATGTTTTTTCTTATAGGATGAACATCTTAGAAAAGGTGACATGCAGGCAAGGTCATGAAAGAGAAGCATTTCAGCATGGCCTAATCATGCTGATGTCATTCACTGATGGCTGACCTTCTGCAAACTGTGGTCAAACCCTGGAACGGGCTTCCTAGAGAGGTGGTTGATGCCCCACGCCTGTCCGTGTTTGAGGCATTTGGACCATGCTTTAACTTTTGGTCAGCCCTGAAGCGGTCAGGCAGTCAGACTAGATGGTCATTGTAGGTCCTTTCCAACTGAAATACTCTATTCTATTGTATTTTGAAAGATGTTTGAACGGATATGTTAAGATGAGGCTGATGAATCTTGTTCCATTTTTTTCTTAAGCAGTTCTTAGAAAAACGGAGAAAACAATCGAACTGTTGTATGTTGGTCTGTATTTCTTCAGCCTGGAAAAGATTGCGCTCCCCAAATCCTGTGCTCAATTAAAGACGTGAGATGCTGTAACAAAGATACAGGTGAACTCTGAGGAAAAAATTAGTTTCTTCGCAGTGATCACAATAATTACAGATTTTTATTTTTTTTTTGGGGGGGGGCGAGGAGTATTTCAATTCAAACAGTGAAATAAACCCCATTTTACACCTATATACGAGAGACATTTGCAAAAACAGTCCATCTGCGCAGAAATATGAGGCCTGGAAAGCTGCCAGGGTTTCCAAGTGTGACCTGCTGTGCAAATGCTGATTATGCAAGTTAAAGCTGTCTGGGGTGAATTTATGTTCCCTGTTTTCCAGGGCTCCAAATGACATTCCTTTACTTACAGAAACCACGTCAAACTCCAAACTTCTATCTGACAAGTTTTCAAGATTCTTGGAAAGTTGAGTAAAGCACAATTCCTTTCCATTTGCAAAATGAAAATGAGCTTATTCCAAATAAGAAACTGAGACAAAAATGTATATCCAAAAACTTTAAGAAGGATCAAGTCTTGGTCACTTTTGTTTGAACTATTTGCAGAAGCATTTACAGAAACTTCTATGGTTTATTTCAAAACAACAAAAAAATGGGAATGACTGACAACCGTATCTCTTCTCAGTATGAATGATTATGTAAGCGTGCATACCCATCATTATCTTGAACCTCTAAAAAAAATTTCTTAAAGGTCAGCAGCTGCCTAGAATCATCGAACAATTCAGATTGCATGGGACCTCACCTTCGTCTTACAAAGCAAGGCTAACTTCAACATCAGATTAGGCTGCTCGTAGCCTTGCCTAAATCAAAACTTTATGTATTTCCAGGAATGGAAATTCTCCCACCTGTGTGGGTGACTGCTTCAGTCCTTGGTCACCCTCATTGTGAAATTCTTTTTTTCTAAAACCCAAAATGAATTTTTCCTGAGGCAATTGGTATCCATTGAGCACTGTACTTTCACTGTGTACTTCCAAAAAGAATCCATCTTCTCTACAAACACCCATTAAGTAGTTGAAGGCAGCAGTAAGATGTCTCCTTCACCTTCTCTTCTGGAGGCTAAACAAACCTCCCTCTTTCTGCTGCTCCTCATACATCACGTCTGCCAGCCTCTAGCTATCCATGTGAGCTGTGCTCAGCTGGACTCATTCCAGTTTCTCACAGCTGTTACTATCATCATTTCTTGTCATTGAAAAAATTTCAACATACTAAAGGTGACCAAGCAGTAAGGTGACAGTTATTTAAACACTGAATGGTTATTCTGTGTGAAATGTTTTACAAGCAAAGAAAAATACGATGGTAACACCACCTTGGTTTTAAAAAGTATCAAGCAGGCTTTATGCGCTGAAAAAGCTCTGTACTGCATTTTTTCCTGCCATTTTATTAATAAAACAAGGTTTTCTTAATACACAACTATTAAAATTCAACAACAAATAGCTGTTATGAAATACACAACATCAAAGTGCTG